TGTGGCAACTTTGGCCACACGTCCAGGACTTGCCGCGGCAAGAAAGTCACAACGAAGGTAGCCTCACCAACGGTGGTGGGCTTACCTTCGAACCCGGGAAGTGCTTCTGCGAGCAACTCACTGGGAAACACCTCGGGCCAGTAGGAGTGTTAGCCTCTCTTGCTCGCGCTGAAGTGGTAACGTTGCCTTCCCCACTTCAGGCGTTGGCCAAGGCTAGTGACCCACGTATCGCCCCGCAGACACATACAGACCCACCGACGCTCTGTTCGAAAGATGTGTCTGACGCCCTAGAAGAGTTAGAGACTGAGAGGTCAGGGAAGGACCCCAGGGACTCTTGGACGATGATGAGTGGAGGTCCAAAGGGTGAACATTTCGTGGTAGAAGTAGATGTAGGTGGCCACAAGATTGGCGCCTTCGCAGACACAGGCTCTACACAAAATTTCATCAGTCGTGCTTGTGTGGTTAGACTGCGCTTAGGGGACCAAGTGCAGTGGCTTAGCAGAACTGTAGCTTCTACACTAGCCAACAAACACAAGATGGTAGTAAAAGCCTATGTCAAGGACGTAGCCTGTTCCTTCTCCTATGGAGGAGGGGAAGTGATCCACAAGATCTCCTTCCTGGTTAGCGACGAACTTCCTTTTGATATGCTCCTAGGTATGTACTACCTCGAGGCCGCGAAACCACAGTTGGACTGGGATAGAAAGGTATTGATTCACAAGTTGCCCAATGGTATATCTGTTAGATTGCAGAAGTTCAAAGCTAGCGGTCTAATAGAAAACTGGTGCATGTGTGCATCATCTTTCTATAACTATTATAAACAGAATCGCGAGGAAGGCATGTATCTAGTTTTTGTCTCTGAGAAAGGGGAGGCCGTAAAATCACCCCCAGAGATAGAAAAAGTCGTCGCTCAATATTCAGACCTTTTTTAGGAGCCCACAGTCGTGGTGGAAAGGGAGGTGGTCCATGCAATAGAGGTTGTCCTAAGTAGTAAGGTGCCTAGAGGACGAATCTATAGGATGTCTCGTGCGGAGTTAGATGAGCTTCGCCGCCCGCTTAAAGAGCTCACAGAGAAGGGATGGATACGGCTTAGTACCTCCCTTTACAGTGCGCCAGTCGTATTTGTTCCTAAGAAGGGAGGTCCATTAAGGATGTGCATTGACTATAGGGGCCTCAATTCCATCACCGTAAAGAACGTGGAGCCCCTACCCCGCATTGACGACCTCTTGGATAGAGTGCAGGGATATCGGTACTTCACAAAGATAGATCTGAAGTCCGGATACCATCAAATTGCCGTTAAGCCTGAGGACCAACACAAAACCGCATTTCAGACCAGATACGGTCTATACGAGTTTGTGGTGATGCCTAAGGCCTATGCAATGCGCCAAGTACGTTCCAGCACGCGATGAATAGGATCTTTCATGACTACTTGGACAAGTTTATCGTCGTGTACCTCGACGATATTCTCTCTTCAGTAGGACTGTAGAGGAGCACGCTGAGCACTTGAAAATAGTGCTAGGTCTCCTAAGACAGCACCAGTACAAGGTAAACTTAGATAAATGCGAGTTTGGTCGCACCAAGATCTTGTACTTGGATCATGAAATTTCAGCAGATGGATTGAGGCCGGAAGATGCGAAAGTGGCCAGCATACGTGACTGGCCCAGACCTCAAACCGTTACTGAGGTCAAATCGTTTTTGGGGATGACGGGCTACTATCGTCCGTTTGTGAAAAACTGTAGTACTATAGCTTCCCCATTGACAGATCTTACTCGACTTGACACCCCTTGGGAGTGGACTGAAGAGTGTGAGGCAAACTTCAAGCAATTGAAGTATGCTCTAACACACTATGAAGTTCTCAAACTCCCCGATCCTAACAAGCCGTTTGTCGTGACAACAGACGCCAGCCAATATGGCATTGGCGCTATCCTTGCACAACAAGAGGGGCCAAAGTTGAGACCGATCGAGTATATGAGTAAGAAGATGCCTTCCAAGAAGCTAGCTGGGTCCACTTATGAAAGAGAGCTCTACGCCCTATATAGAACGCTAGTTCATTGGAGACATTACCTTCTAGGGAGATTTTTCTATGTAAGGTCTGACCATGAGACTCTGCGCTGGATTAAGACGCGGCCCGTGTTGTCTGACGCACTCAAGAGATGGATTTAAGTGATAGATATGTATGACTATCAACTTGATCCTATCAAAGGTTCATACAACAAAGTGGCAGATGCGCTGTCAAGAAGGGTTGACTATCTAGGCGCACTAGTAACTGAATTCGACATATCTAATGATCTTACTCGATCACTGGTGGAAGCCTATCAGGGAGATGCAGTTATGTCAGAGATCATTCGTAAATTCCAAGCAAAGGACAAGAAGACTTTGGACGAATTTACCATGGTAGATGGCTTGCTGTTCCTTGAAAAGGCAGGGTTTAAAAGACTATGTGTCCCGGATAGTGAGTCTTTGCGTAGTTTATTTTTAGGAGAATGTCATGATGCTGTAGGTCATTTTGGTTATAAGAAGATATCAGCAAACTTAGTACAAAAGTTTTGGTGGCCTTCTATGATGAAGGATGCAAAACTGTATGTCGAGACTTGTCAGGTTTGTCAAAGCGACAAACCTAGGACTCAGGCTCCGCTTGGGCTGATCAAGCCCTTGCCGATCCCGGAAGGTCCAGGTCCGAGTGTCTCCATGAATTTTATGGACACTCTTGTGACCAGCAAAACCGGCAAACGACACATATTCGTCAGAGTAGATCGCTTTACTAAGTATGCCAGACTTATCGCTATGCCGGAGACAACAAAGTCAGATCACGTCATCAAATTGTTTATGGATAACTGGGTAAGGGATTTCGGTCTACCTACGTCTATCGTAAGCGACAGGGATGTAAGATTTACCAGCGAACTGTGGCAGTCTACAGCTGAACAGATGAAAACCAAACTCCAGATGACATCAGGGAATCATCCTGAGTCAAATGGACAGGCAGAACAGATGAACCGAGTGGTACAGCATTTGCTGCGGCACTACATCAAGCCAAGTCAGGATGACTGGGACGATAAGTTACCTCTCGTCGCCAACCTGTATAATAATGCAGTGCACAGTGCTACCGGAATGACTCCTAACCAACTGCATCTTGGTTGGAAGCCTAGAACTGCCTTGGACTTCTTACTACCGGAAAGAGAATCCACTGCAGCACCTGGCAGCATAGAGTTTGCTGTTAAGTATGAACAGATGCTGCAGCAAGCCGTAGAGCACATTAGAAAAACTCAAGATGCAATGATAGCATCTGAGAATAAGCATAGACGGCCTTCTAATTTCCAGGTAGGTGACAGAGTTTGGGTAAAAACATCTGAACTTGGTCAGGAGCTAAGAATCTCTAGAAAATTGATGCCACAATTCTTCGGTCCGTGGGAGGTCCTAGATGTGATAGGAGATCAACCGGATGGGCCATCCTATGTGATTCGCATCCCACCCCATCTACGCACCTACCCTGTATTCCATGCTTCAAAGTTGGCACCTTTCGCTGCTACTGAGGAGTTTCCTTCCAGGACATCGACCAGATTGTCGAGCATCGAGTGATGCCTGTTCCACGACCATCAGGCAGAAGGCGCCCTCCTAAACCGAGAATGCAGTATCGGGTGAACTTTAGACATCACCTCGATCCCAAGGAAGATCGCTGGTTTACACGGGAAGAACTCATGAGAACAGCGCCTCAAGTGATTGCAGGCTATGAAAGAGAACGAAAAGGGAAGATGCCTGCAGAATAAGAGACTTCTCAGAGGACTCACGAAGTTAAGGAGGAGGGAATGCGAGGATCAGTGTCCTCGGTAGGCCTACTGGGCCCTGTCTGCAGCCTTACC